CTCCCAGCTGTCCATCACTGTCACCGAATTGTCTGCTAGGTTGTCCATGAATTGCTCTGAAAACTGGAAATAATTTGATAAGTGAAATAAAAAATCAAAATATACAAATCACTGAATAGTTTATTTATCTGGCCCAGGTTTTCCACTTCACTTTTACAAGTCTTCGCTTCAGTTCTGTTGGAAAATTAAAGTTTTCAGGACGCAGCTTCACCTGGCGATAGCTGTAGATTTTTCATGGAGCTTTGGCGATGATAAGCCAAAAGATCAGCACACATTCGATTACGACCTGCAGTGCGCTGTCAAGGGAATTGCTGGCATCATTAGGGACTATAGTTCGTGCGTTTTTTTTCTCTCTGTCTCTACCCTTGTTTGGACATCATTTTCTGTTAATTAAATTTTATTGATGGATTAAAAAAATTTATATCGCAACTTCTCCGAGAAAAATTTGAAAGGCCACAAATTCTAGAAAAAAATTTAAAATTTTTGCTATGATAAATAAAACCCTTGCCTAGCGGCGATCATCCTGTTTTACCAAGAAAGCTGGAAATCTAACTTGCATGCTAAAAATTCTGCTAAGAATGCTCTCTTGCGGAAATCGAGGTCATGATTACTAAATAATTCCAGACCATTTTTCGTTAAAGGATACTGCCCGAAAATCAGTTAAAAACAGAAGCGTCTAACATGAATTTCTTAAAGCCCTTTTCGCATTCGGCTGGTACTCTCGCTTTCCTGAACACGTAATATTTTCTTTATTTCCTTCAGAAATTAGGCTTTTCTTACAAAGAATGCATCTCTGAATCCTTTCACATTACATAGGTCTTTTTTCAGTTTCTGAAGATCTGAGTTTTTCTAATCTCTCTCAAGAATGGAGGCGTAGAGGTGACCTCCACCAACATTCTTCTCCGCCTTCCGTACGCGTTCTGTCAGTAGCACTATACCATATCGTTATCAGTTATCTTTTGATTGTAAACTGTTGGCTCGAATAGTAGTACGTGTTAATTTAATTAATTAATATTGCAGGAGTAAAATGTTTCCAACATATGGATTCGGTGCAAAAATTC